GATCACAATTTTACTTTTAGGAATACTTTTTGTCATGGGAGATTAATATACTCAGGAGTGAAAAGTTGAAGAATGACTTGAAAATTGGAATTGATTATATCTTTCAACTCATGTAGATGAAACCATTTTTGCCGGTGGAAGATAACAAAAGTATTACTTGATTTTCTCATAAATGATCACACCCTATGAAAGCACAGAGTAACATTTGGAAAATTTATTTGTGCAGAGAATTTTGAACCCACTATTTCCCCCTGCCTCTTGCAAAACAGTTCCCTGTAACAATATTCAAAGATATACTATCTACTATCCACACAGGGGTTGAGTAAGACATATGGCTTTTGCAAGCCGACTTGAAGGCTTTAAAGAGAAAGGTGCTTGAGAGATAGGACTTTGGCCCTCTGGCTCCACTATTGCTCATGATAGCTAAGCTTGGACAATTGCAGGGCATTTGCTATTGGTTAACACCTTTTGAATAATCTCCCATGAAACCTATAATCATTCGTTCAATTCAATCAAGTAGAAATAGGGTGGGGGAAAGTTCACGCCTCCAATGACTTCAAAAAGACTGCTTTTATTACAATTCAGCTGAGGCCTATGATGTCCTGAGGTCTATCGTGTGCTATGATATGAAGAGCTATGCATAGGGTGGTAAAACTTCACAAGAAAGATCTTAGGGAAAAGGCCCAAGATGTAGACAGAGATGAAGTGGCGTATTTAAGGTACCCATCCCCTTTTAGGTACCTAGGAAAACATGAAAAGTCTAGCAACCAGATCAAAAAACTAGCAGAATAAAAATCTGCAGCATTGCTGATCACTTTGATCTTAGTTCCTGGGAAGCTGGTTAGTCCTCATCTTTCCCATTTTATGAGTAGAAAGGAATGAATACTTCAATGACTTGGGTTTCCTGACATTTCTCCTTTCTGAAGAAGGAGCCAGGCCTGCCAGGAAGTTATTGAGTTGGTCCAATGACCTATTTATTAGACAGCAATCTTTTAAGTACCCTTTAAAAGGTGACAGAGAACTCAGGGTTACCAAAAGCACAGATTACAAATGCCACAAGTGGAATCACTCTTCTGATCTCATGAAACACAGAAACTATAAAGTGGCTTGCCAGGAGCCCAGACCCCTGGTATGAACTGATTTCCCAACAGCATTGGAGAGAAACTTAGGCAAGAGTTTTGTCTGCATCTGAAGTCTCAAAGACTGGAACTCAAGATTTGTCTAGATTCTTGTGAGACCTTAGGGCTATATCGGGGCATATACGCAGCAAAATATAACTTCCTGACTCTGTAGGAAAGAAACTCTCAGCAGGACTAATAAAATGAGCTTCTAATGAGGCCTCTCAGACATCAAATAAGCAGAGGGAAAACACTTTGATGAGGTAAGTGTAAGGGGATCAGAAACATATCCCACCCTCAAAAAAGTTTCTTTCAAAGCCATGTGAGTTGAAAATTGAAAGACACCCCATACTTTTCCAGACTTAGATATCTGAAACAAGACTGAAGATATAAAAGGATTAATGAGTGCCTAATTAGTAACTAGCCAGGAGAGACCCAGTCTTTGGGTCATGCTCTACCGCTTCCTAGCCAGACTGCAGAGTGTCAATCCCATCTGTCACACCCACTTTCTTCAGTAGTCTTCATTTTAAAAAGCTGCTCTAAAACACCTCTCCAGTGAGAAAATGTTTAACTCCTAAAATTTTTAACTCCTAAAATCTGTGGAGTCACACAATCCTCTGGAATCCCCCCGTAACAGTATAAAGTCAGACAGTTTCATATGCAGAAGTTATGACTCTAAGTCAGGAGCAATAGGTTTAACACAATTGAAGGTTTCATCTCAGTTTTAGAAAGAATTTCTAACAGAGTTGTTTTCAGGGTTGGGTACAGAGCAAGTTACTTCAGAAGGTAGTGAGTGTTCCAGTTCCAGAACTAAGACAGAAAAATACTTGAAAGGAGGGACACAGGATGTATATTGGTACATATGATAAAACATGATATGCTAATATGATTCTCAAATAAATTGGGTTTCATTTGAAAGCTTTTACAATTCCTTCCAACTATCATAAATAAATGAAGATATAGTAGACTACTTTTAATGGTTAATAACAAGAGTTTCACTATTCAGGAAGGCATTTTGATAATATAGGGTCTTTGTAAAAAAGCATTCATGGAGTCAAAAAATCACTTCCTATCTATGCATACTACTTTGTTCAGTGCTTAAAATAGCAGACAAATTCTATTCATAAATAATCTATCATGAGAAGACATGAAATTCCATTTTATAGCTTCAATTTGTCACTTTGATCTCTGAAATCTCTTTTAAAGTGCAATACCCCCTTGAAGCATCAGAGATATGTTTACTTTGGTCATTCCTAGGTAAGGTGTGCACCAGTAGACTGTAAATTATGCTGAACGTAAGGTATCTCAAGCGTGACACTACCGGCACTTTGTTATGGAAGTGTGTCCTGTGCATTGTAGGATGTTTAGTGATATTCCTGGCATCTGTAACTTACCCACACCCAGACCTCACAACAACAAATACCTCCAGACTTTGCCAAATGTCCCGTAAGGGGTAAAAATATTCACACTTGGGAATCACTACTACTTTCAAGGGTAAGAGGAAGAGAGGGGTAGAAATATGGCAGAGACAAACCTATGATCTGGGAGGTAAGCACATCAACAGGAGGTGTGATCAAATTCACAATTTTTCCTAGGGTTAGTTCTGCTACAAAAAGTACAGTTTTCCTCACTCACATTTCTTATAGTTCCCTGTACCAGGGATGAACATTTCTTAGGATATATCAGAAATTCCTTGGTATTTTTATCATTCAGAGTTTTACCAGAGAAATAGAACCAATATATAAAGGAATTGCCTTGACTTACATGACTATGGCATGTGGGACTAGGTAGCAAATTTGAAATCCCTATGGCGGGCTGTCCAGAAGGACAGGATGGAGCTTTTTAATTTGAACTGAAGTTAAAACTCACAGGTGGAATTTCTTTTGCAGGGAAGTCTCAATTCTGGTATTAGTCTTTAAACTAACAGGAACTTTACATCTTCTAGAACAACTGTAGGTTTTAATCATACCTACAAAATACCTCCACAGCAACATTTCTAAATTAATTTTTGCTTGAATAACTAGGAATGACAGCCAAGTAACAGACACAAAACTGTCCATCACAGTGTTCCAGAAGTTATTCCTTATGCTCTGATGTTTTGTCCTGTTTCACAATCTTGTGATCAAGTCATTTCAGCAGCTGTGCTGTAGGCCCCACTCATTCACAAGTTCTGCTCCCGGCATGCATTTCATGATACTATCCTACCATGCCCAGGCAAAAAAAAAAAAGGGTCTAAACTCCTCATAAGCACTTTAATGAACTTAAGAGTTTATTTGGAAGGATGTGATCAGGCATTTTTCCAAAGATATAAACATAATTGATAAGCATGAAAATTGCAGAGATAACACTTCATACCTACTAGGATGACTATAATTTAAAAAAGATTATAAAAAGTATTAGCAATGATGTGAAAAAAATTGCTCTTTATAGAAATGTGAAATAGTGTGGCTGCTTTGGAAAACAATCTGAGCTCATCAAATGACTAAACATTCCTATGAATGTAACCAAGAGAAATAGAATCATAGGTCCACATTGTAACTTGTAAACAAATGCTCAAAGCAGCATTACTCATAATATTCAAATAGTGGAAACAACCCATATGTCTATCAACTAACTGATGGATGGATAAAAACAGGGAGCTGTCCATACAATGGAATATTTTTTGATCATATACAAGAATGAAGTACTGATAGATACATGGATAAACCTTGAAAACCTACTGGGGAAAGAAGCAAGTTCACAAATCATACCACGTATCATATTATAATTATGTTCCACATAATTATATATGGAATAATTCCATTTTTATGAAATGTCCAGAAGAGGCAAATCCTTCAAGACAGAAAGTAGATTAATGATTTCGAGGGACTAGAGGGGTTCAGGAAAAATGGGAAGTGATGACTAACAGTTATGGGGTTTCTTTCTGGGGTGATAAAAATGTTCAAAAGTTGATTGTGGTAAGGGTTACACAACTCTGTGAATATACTAAAAAACACTGATTTGTAAATGCATGAATTATATGGTGCATAAATTATATATCAAGAAAGTTATTGCATATTTTTAAAGAGAGTAATTTTTGGAAAAACTAGCATCAGAAGCATTTAACAGACCCATTAGGGCAGAATTCTCTGATCAGACTAAGGATTAGCCAATGAATGTCCACAGCATCACTGGCTTAAAGCACTGCTGGGAAGCAGACCACCAGGAGAGAGGAAGCAGGAAGATGCTCTCTTTTGCTTAGTATTCACCACTCAAACCAATCAAACTGAATGAAGGGAACTCTTCCCATGGCAGATGGGCCCATTCCAGGGTCTCACTTCCTGTGCCACTCTCTGCTGACAGTTGTATAGTCTGCCACCTAGAGCAGGCTGACGAGGGTGGAACCAGTCCAAGAGAAAACTCAAAAGCTTGCCTAGAGAGAGTATTAGCTCAGAAACTGCTCTTTTACCTCAGTGGCTTAAGAATTTTGATTCATTTGTTAATAGTCTATCTTTGATGATGTACAAACGTATGACTCAGTTTTGTGGCTTTTAGCACCTCATGCTGGGAACTTATAAAGTCCACTTTACTCATTCCAGAGACAGCCGAGACAGCCTGGACTACTGCCCAGCCTTCCTCCTGGCTCCATAATAGGGAATTTCTTGTATGTGGCCTCTCTGGAGAGGTGCTGAGATGTTATCATCTCACTATTGCAGTCCTAGTTCTTTGAGGGCTTCTCTGTATTTTTTGAACCTTCTATCAAAGTACAAATATTAACTACCAGAAAATAGCTTTAACTTGAATGTGGAAAAATGTAAAATGGGTAAAATAAGACTATCCATTTTTAATTCAAATGCCACCTTGTTAAGATGCAGGCAATGGATTTTTCTAGTAGGGACTCACCAAGCAGTTGATGGATATTTTATTAGTGTCTGGTCTTCAGTGCTGTGGGTCCAGAATTTCTCACACCCGGATGCCTCTGTCCACCAATCTGTTGGCACAAACAGATTCACAATAGGATTATGACTCAAATTGTACATGCTCATTGCCTTCCCTAGTATAACTGTCAGAACGTAGCCCCTTGAAAAAGCCTCCTTAAGGTACTTATGGACATCTTCATGGAAACCTCATGTGTTCAAGCAGGTCCTCCAATTGCTTTTGTTGCCCCAGACCTCTGTTTATGATCTCCCAACTCACCTGGGCAATTATTGCATCCACCTAGCTCTCACTCTCTCTACTACCACCACACCTTCAGAAGAATTCTGTCTCACCCTGGGGGCTATGAAAGCATTAAAAGAACCCTATATTTCCTTCAGCCCTTAAAATGGCCTCTGGGAAAGCATTTTCCTAGTTTTTTTCCAGGACTTTGTGAAATACCAAAATGTATCTATCCCATTGACCTCCTAAGCATCTGTGCACAAAACTTCTTATAGGTACTTCACTTCAAAGTAAACCAAAGCCCAATTCAGAACCAAGAATTTCAAATCTTAGATAATCCTACAAAACTCTACATATATTCTTTAAGCTAAGCCAGGGTCAATTCATCTGACAGTCAACTTTGATCGGTGTTCATGAAATCCAGAGAGACTTAAGTATAAAAAGTTACATTTTAGATGTATTTATATATTGACTTATATGAAAAAAAAAAAGAATTAACAAGCTCCAGACCCACAGAACCGAAGACCAGATCCAAAAAAAAAATTCTCTCACTCTTTTTCTAAACAAAAAACAGGTACTTAGAAGGTCAAGCTTTTAGACGAATTATCGGTGAAAAGCCTAAGAGTGAAGAATGACATAATGTAAATGGTCACCATCAATAAATAAATTATGGCAGTTGTTGTTTAGGATATTTAAAGTAGATTTTTCAAGTCTTCATCAGTCATGTATTTACAAACCAGGAGTATAGATCTCATTCTTTGAATTTGGTTGACTTTTACTAATTTCAGTTGCAAAGAAATGCCCCAAATCTACTGTAACTTAGTTTTCTACCCATCTTAATGAAAGACTCTTTGGGACCTGGAGTAGAAAATCGTTTATTTACCAAATAAGACTCTGAAAATCCCTTTTCAATTAGATCCAGACTAACTGTAGACTGAGTATAGACTTATACTCAAGTCTCCCTGGATTTCATGAATAGCAATCAAAATTGAGTATAAGATGATTACACTATTCCTATAAAGAAAAAATTATAGGATTTTGTTTCCCTTTAGGAATTTGTTACTTTTATCTAATTTATGTAACAGACATTAAAATGATCACAACTCTTCAGATGATACAAAGTCCAAAAATGATAAAAAGAAGCACATGTCCTAGAATCAACTGCAAAAAAGATTATAAAATCAGTTCTGCCCACCTGAGCCCATCATCTAATTCTTAGCTACTTGAGAGAGGCTGAAGAAATGGGTAGAGAAAAATGTCGTGGAAAGATTTATGGTGTGCTATCATTTGCAATTTGAAAACATAAAAGCTGTATCCAATTCTAACCTGGGAAAATCTAAAAATGAGAGGCTGGGGCGATGGCCCCTTACATGGTAATAATAGTGGCTACAATGGAATAGTCTAGTATCCTAGTTTGATATTCTCCATGTGCCAGATAGAGACTCCAAGAAGGAGAAAAATTGGGTGGCAGTGAAAGAGAGGCCAAGAATTTTGTCTGGATAATAAAGTTACATAAAAAGGGGAGGGGATGATCAGGCACAAAGAATGGCACAGGTTATAAGTAACATTGGAGGAGTACTGCTTGATCAAGGAAACTACAACTAAAGATTCCTAGTAATGAGGCGAGATCGATATAAAATCCAATGAGATTTCAGTCAATCTGCCTGTTCTGTTCCCCACTGTCTCTGGCGAATCCTCTCACGGGTTGAGCGCTGTGCTGTGAAGGTGTCCACAGCCTCTGCAGCACGGGTTCAATTCCTGGCTGACCAGGGAGATTCCCACATGTTGTAGCAGACCTCTCCTGGTCCGACCACTGTGGAAAGCTGTCTGGAGGTTCCTCAGTCTATTAAAAATGGAGCTTCCATATGATCCAGCAATTCTACCCTGAGGGATACCCAAAGGACACAAAAACATTGATTCAAAAGAACACCTGCATCCTTATGTTTATTGCAGCACTATTTACAATAGGTAAAACCTGGAAACAACCTAAATGCCCCAAAATAGATGACTGGATCAAGAAGATGTGGCATATATACATAATGGAATATTATTCAGCAATCAGAAAAGATAAACTCATGCCATTCACAGCAACATGGATGGAGCTAGAAGGAATTAAGCTCAGTGAAGTAAGTCAGAAGGAAAAAGAAAAAGAAAAATATTGGATGGTTTCACTTATAGGAGGAAGATAGGGGAACAAAATAAGACATCAGGGGAAAAAATAACAATACGAAACACACCACCACAAAACAAAAACAAACAATTATAAACCAGAGACATCCTGCAAGGAGCGGGAGGGAGAGGGCTTGGAGGGAGAGAAGGAGGCGCACAGGGGACTGTGGTGATGGTGCATGGGTGAAGTGGTGGAGGAAATACTATGGGGACTACACCTGAGGAAAATAAAAAAGCAAACTTTGTTTAAAAATGAACAATGATGTAATGTATAAAAAAATATATATATATATAAAGAAAAAAAATAAAACTATAAAATACACAGAGAACCCCAGCTTTTAATTGCTTTTTGTAATATGAGGCTATGCTGGGCATAGGAACCTATAGCTCTCAAAGACCCCAAAAGACTTATGAGAACATGAGTCTCAGAATATTGCTAAAAAGCAAAGAGATATAGTAAAGTTTACCTTTACTCTGGTTCTTGCCAGTTTGTTTCAAAAATCCATTGGAGGAGCCTCAAGACCAGGAACTAGTACTAAGGACTTGGAGACCTGCTACCTTTGGCTTGTTCTCCACTGTAGTCTGTCTTTCCCAAGGATTCCTCCTGCCCTTGTGGCTCCAGTTCTACTCCTAGCTACTGTATCACCATACTTCAAAGGTATTAATTCTATAATGTACCAATCATTTTAATAAGACCTACAGGGATGGGAGGAAGGAAATATAATCACTCTAATTATAAACTGTGTGATATTCTGATTTCATGAATATAAAAATACAATGAGCACCGAAGTAATAGAGTGACTTTTAATTTGGGCAGAATTGATGAAGACTGCCAGCCTGGAGCCTCTAGCTTTGGCAGTCACCTCTGGTCCAACCACCTTGGACTGTATCATGAGGTTGAATGGCATGGAACACAATGACCTGGGCTGCTGTTTCCAGAAGAGTTATGGTATGGCAGCCTCCAAAGACTCTGGAAGTAGGTAAGAATAGACTTGCTAAGTGCCACTAAGAAAGAAGACTGAGCAACCCCATTGTCTAGTATATATATTTTTTAATCTTACTAAAACAATGCTGATTCCAAAGTATGAAATTATGACCATGCTAATACATGGGAAATCATGCCTACATTTGGTCTGTTCTTGTCCCTTAGATCATTTGTTTAGCCTATTACCTTTGAAGTTTAAACTATTGGGTTATCAGAAAAGTCATGAGGAATTAAACAGAAAAAATATGGCATTACATTTCCGACAACCCAATAGTATGAAAAAAAAATCTTGAATAATCCACACTAGATTGGTTTAAATTTCTGGGGAATATTTAACTCTCTTTGAAGCATGAAGTCAATTTTTCAAGTGTGGACTTGGCCTTAAAAGACCCAAGGTGTCAAAGTGGGAAAGATTCAAAAAGGTCTTTTCCCTGCTGCTATTTGATGAACAATTCTTATTTTCCGTTAGAAAAATATCATTCCTCAGACTGCCAAGAGGTTGCTGGCAGATGTAGCTTATATTAGACAGATGGCTGGTCTGTAATTAAATGCTTGTCCATGGCTGGGTCCAGTACATTATGAATGGTGTGGGAGGATATGCCCGTAGTTAATGACTGTGCTATACTTCGAGGATGAAGGTCAAGGAAGAAAGTGCTAAGTGGACTCTCATACGAGATTATTAGAGATGAATAAAATCCGACCCATTGATTGTTGACAAAATCCCATGGGAAGGAGTTCCAGATTATTCACATACTAGTGGACTGGGAAATAAGTTGTTTGCATGAATAAGCATTAGAGGTAAAAACCCAAGGTGTGTATACAGGTTCATACACAGAAAACACATATCGTGATATAGTAATGCTTGTGTCAACACATACCTACTGCTCTGGCACAACTATTTTTTCAAGTAAATTTAGGATAGTAAGTTTGTGGGATTCTTTCCCTTTGTGTACAACCAAATGGTTTATAGGTATAATGAAATGTTTCCTTTTTCAGGGTAAAGTTAAGGAGCATTGAGAAACAACTTTGAGGCTTTGATTTTAAAGAAATGCTCAGGTGTCGCAAACCTGTATTTTATTTTTACGTTAGCTGGACTACTAAGAAGCAGAGATCTCCTCAAGTTACAATTATGAAGATATGAGTACAAGCCAGAGCTTGCATCCTAGCTTCAGCCCCCTGATAAATTATAATATGATTGTTCCTTCCCCAAATCTTTAAATGAGGGCACAAATCTGTGTACAAAATAAAGAAAGCACAAAAGTTACTTGTGAAGTTAGAGGACTTAAAATTGAAAAATTAAATATATTCCCATATATCTAAAATGAGAAATCAGAGATGAGATTAGTTATCAGATCTATCCAAAGTGCTATGATCAGGGCCTCCCTGCTGGTACAAGGTGTAAAGTCTCAGCACTATGAAGCTATCGCCAGCTACTGCAGCACAAGTTCAATCGTCAGCCAAAGAGCTGACCCACATGGCACAGCAGACCTCTCCTGTCTCATCCGCTGCTCCCCTCAGCAGTGTATTTTAGTAGCTCCACCTGTCCTGCTCCCCATTCTGTCTCGGATGACTTCTCTCACACACCCCCACCCCCGCACCTCTGGTCTACACCCCAGCTCTTGTATGCATGGAAGGGATCATGCTCAGTGAAATAAGCCAAAAAGAAAAAGAAAAATACC